AGCTGGGGGCTAACTGGGGCGGGGCAGGCAAAGCTCTGGAAGGTTTTTGTGTCATTGAGCTGCTGCATGTTCCATTCCATGGCCCAGGTGGCTGAATTCTGCTCAGTGGAGCATGTGTGGAATGTATGATAGACCCTGGCCAGGCAGACCTTTGCAGAAGCCCATTAACATTCTATAAATGGCAACAACAAGCACAGCAACAAGGCCATGAATATTAACATGGTAGCCTAAGGTTCTGTCTGCTTCCTCTCCTTCTTCTTTAGACTTAAATTATGTCCACAGACTGTTTCATTTTTGATCAGAGTGCAAATCATTTTCAGACTTGGATTCTCTCTCTCTCTAACACCCTGTCTTGGGGTGAGCCTTCTGGGGATAAATTACAGAAGAGAAAAATACCCCCCTCACCAAGTTACTTCTAGAAAGCATTAACTCCAGCTGTGCTGCTTCCCTCCTTTAGAATGGTCAGTGCTCCAAATGACATCCAAATGGTCAGCATCTCCAGGAAAAAGTTCAAACCCATTTGCAGGCCCTAAAATGCCTTAAAGGAGATCTGGTGGCGTAATGGTTAGGCGCTCGGCTGCTAACTGAAAGGGTGGCAGTTCCAACTCACCCAGCGGCTCTGTGGGAGAAAAGACCCGGCCATCTGATCCCATAAAGATAACAGTCTAGGAAACCTTATGGGGCAGTTCTACTCCATTACATGGGGTCACTATGAGTTGGAATCAACTCGAAGGCACACTCCAACAACACAAGGCCTTCAATATCCAGTTCCAACCTACCTTTTCTCCTGTTACTGCCTGTCACATACCAGGCACACCTGACAACTCACTTGTCCCAAAAAGCTGTGTTCTTTCCTACCTGTGCTCTGCACACTCTGTTCCCTTTGTCTCCAGTGCCCTTCTGTCTCCTCTTTGCTGCTTGAGGAACTCCTGCTGGAAAGCTTGGCCTCAGCTCAGATGCCCCTCCTTGATGATGCCTTCCCAGCTTCCCCAGGCAACGGGTTCATCCTTCCTCTGTGCTTTCAGAGGTGGGCTCCGCCCTGGATTGATTGCAGCTCTCATTACAGTGGGCACACTTGCTACTCTATCAGAGCCTTACTTTTAAAAGCAGTGGGGCGCCATCTTGAATTCTTGGTTGAACTCTTGTATCATTTTTCTTTTCTCTTCCCTTTCCCAGAGAGTACAAAATAACTAGGCCATATTTGGAATCTAAAGGGCATTTTATTCAATGTGTACGCCAATCACTGTCCTGTCCTTCAGGATTGTATATAGGTGCAAAGAGAAGGATGAAGTAGGCAATAATTATTGATTGCAATTTTACATTCTAAACCCCCCTCCAGGAGCCCTGGTGGTGTAGTAGTTAAAACCTATGGCTGCTAACCAAACGGTCAGCAGTTCAAACCCACCAGCTGCTCCTTGGAAACCCTATGGGGCAGTTCTACTCTGTCCTATAGGGTTGCCATGAGTTGGAATCGACTTAATGGCAATGAGTAAACCCTCCTCCAAGAGCTTATTTTTTCTTTTCACATGAAATCTGGAGCGGAGGATTGTTTAAGAGCCCCTCCTTCCTCAGGTCAATGTAAGGGTTTCACCTTAAACAAGCTCACATCTGGCATTTCCATGGTACCCCTTGAGAATATCTATTTTCAGTTGGCAAAGTTTGAAAGTAGGAAGGTGAGAGAATTGTTTAGAAATAAAGATGTTGTAAGGGCAGGAGTGTTTCCTTTAAACATTCGTCCAATACCAAACAGACATTTTGTTTGGTGAAGTCTTTTAGTCCCCTAACCTCCCCATGAAGAAAGAACTGTAATTGAAAGGAGAGAGCATACCGGTATTGTTTGCATCTGATACTGCCTTACCCAGGACACAAGGAAACAGTGTTGGAAATTTGTAGGTTAGCTGTTTGAATAAGAATGCTTAGTCACTGAGAAGGCAACAGACCTTATTTAATATATTTGAGGGTCTTGCCTGGGGAGATTATTCATTGTGTTCTTAATTCTAAACTTATTTCCAGCTTAACACACAAAAGATGAGGGATTCTGGTCAATGCTTTCCAATCCTGTGTACTTCTGTTTGCACGAGAAGATAGGGCCCATCCAGAACAACAGTAGAGAGGTGTGAAAACCAATTAGTTAACGATTCCTAACTTTATGAAATCATTGTTTTTCTAGACTTCCCAACAAGGCTGGGGCTGGGGTGAAGCAAGTGAAGCACTGGCTTCAGGTAGGAAATTTAAGGTGTGCCGATAACTCAGTAATCAAGATAAAGAATATTTCAATGCAATATTTAAAATTTGGATATTTTGTTCATCCTGGATTTTTACTTTAATTTCATTATTTTTTAAAATATTGCACTGAAATATTCTTTATCTTGATTACTGAGTTTATTGGCACGCCTCAGTTTTTGCCAGACTTAAGTGCCTCATCTCACTCTAGTTCTGGCCCAGCTTCCTCAGTTTATTTCCAGAATCTTAAGCCCTATTTGCCATTGCCTTCCAACACATCCTTGGAGTTATGCCCTACGAGGGGAAAAAAAGTTTAATAAAAATAATTGAATCGTGGGATTAAGAAGCAACCTTAGGAGGAAAAAGTCCCAGTGGTCAAATAAATAAAAATTAAACAGCAACGAGATATCCCATTTGTGCTTAGCCAAACTGACGTATTTTTAAAATATAATAACTACCGCTGGTGGGAGTGCCCGTTAGACATACTTTTTAAATTCTTTTTACACGTGAACAATCTCGATTGTTCCTAACTCCGCGTTTCAGCACCACCTCTACCTAGCTGCCCCATGGGGGGCTACTGGAAATAACTTGTAAGCACCCCGAGGGCCGCGACTCCACCAGCCTTCCATGTGCGGAGAGGATCTTCCACAACCGCCTTGAGACTGTTCTGATCTGTGCGGTGCGTGTAACATCCTGTTGTTCCAGAAGAATGCCTCCTTTCTCGCTTTTAAGCCTTTAAATAGGCAATGATAAGCTTTTCCACCCAGAAAAAGTGATTGGGGAGTGGGTTTTAACTTTTGGTCTACACTAACCAGACCCATCAGATAAACACTCCGTTTACCACGATTACCACGATACAAACTCCCTGACTAGACCCGGCAGACGCGAGAGGGCGGAGGTTTTCTTTTCTCCATTTGCACAATGCCCTGCTCTCAGGTTGTGGAGACGACCTCTTCTCGATGCAGTAGAAACGAGGGCTCCAGCCAGGGCCACGCCTCTTGGCCCCCGCCCTCCCAGGTTCCCGTCCTCCGCGCGGGGCCGTCCCTCGCCCGGCGGCCTTCGCTGTCCTGGATCGACGCGGAGGAAATTCTTCTCCGGCAGCACAGGGCTCGCCTCACGTGACCAGCTGCCGCCGCGGCTCCCAACGAGAGTTTAAAGGTTACGGAGGAAATTAGCATGGACACAGCCTCTCTCCTCCCGGAGGGCGCGCCCACGTTTACCCGCGGCCCGGACGGTCGCTGTCAGCTCGCTGATCAAAGCTGATGCCCCCCAAAGGGCATAGACAAGGTCCTGTGTCAATATGAAGAGTCACTTTGTAAAGAACACACTCAAACACACGAACCAAACTCGGGTTCCACCAAGTTTTCGTTTGTCAACAAGTTCTCGCAATGCGAGAAGGCCCCCAAAGAAAAGAAATAATACATTTTTAGAAACACACCAAACCTAGCGCGCCCCTCCCTCTCCCCCCTCCCCCAGCACCGCGGAGCAGAGCGTCCCCGGAGAGTGACAAACCAGTACTCTTGGGCTGCTGTCGCAGGCCACTGGCCGGCTGGGGGTGGGGCTGGGGGAGGTGCCCGGGTCTTATCAGCAAACACGACTCCCCTTCCCTCGGCCCCCCTCCCCCCGCCCCAGACTCTAGAAGGCAGGCTAGGACCTAGAGACCGCGTGAGATGCGCGGCCGGCTCGCCTCTGGGTCCAGCACCCAAGATCGCGTATAACGTCCGCAGCGCTCGCTCCCGGCCCCAAGCCCACCGCTCCCGGGGGTCCCGCGCTGAGTCTCGGCCCGGCTCCTCCTTCAGCCGACGCCACCAGGGCAGTCTCGTCCGCTCTTTGCCGTTCTCCCTTCGGCTCACTTTTTCACTTTTGCCGTATTGCTCCCCCAACCGGCAAAACTTTCTATTTCCCTAAACACAGCCGCGCGCATTCGTACGCGCGCGCGCGCTCGCGCACACACACACGCACACACACACACACATACACACACACATACATACACACACACACACACACACACACACACACACACACACACACACACTGACGTCTTTTGCGCATTTCCTGCATTAGAGGGAGGGAGACTCGCTCACACACCGACCGAGGGAGAAGCCTAAGGGGGAGAGTGGCGGGCGGGCAGCTGGCGGCGAGCGAGCGGGAGCCGAGAGCGGGGACGC